CTGGCAGCCCTGCTGTCTCCAACCCTGCCAGCTAAAGTGAAAGTGCTGGCATAGGGAGTAGAGCTCAGGTAATGCAGGCTTTTATACGGCCACAGCAGACCTGGGTGGGGTCAGTCCAGTGCAGGGCACAGGGTGCTAAAGAAACCGCTTCAGGACTGCATGTGCGCGAGGGATAAACCCAAGAGCAACAGCTCTTAGATTGCTCACCTATACTCATAGAAGCTTGGATTACTGTATGTAACCATCGTTATATGCACTGGCTCCCACTTTTCAATTGCTTTTCATGTTTAATGGCTGAATAAATTAGCTCAGAACTCACTTTTTATATGCATAAAATATGTAAAACTGCTGAGACAGACACTAAATCCATTCGATGGAGAACATTATAACAAAAGACATTAAAATATTGTAATAAATTGTTATGTTAACTCACCAAATGAGTGTGCACAAAGAGAAAATCAATATAACGGTGGTCAATACAGTCAGCATGGTGAAGAAAGTTAGCCGATCAGGTTGAGAAAACTACTACACATCACAGCAGGTTTCAGCTCAGAAATCCTCATTGAAAATCCCAAAACGAATTTGTGAAAGAAAAAACATCTTTTCTGTCTTAACTTTGAATTATAACCATGTGGTTTACAAGCTACAAACGTCTTCTACAAATTTCTCCTGGCCATGCCAGCAGAACAAACATGGTGTGGTGACAGTTAATGAGCAGTTACGTACGTGACCTCACACTCTGGTTCATTTAAAATATTTAAATTACAAATACCACTTAAAGTAGATGAGAAGTGTAAACTTGAAATTACAAATTTGTAGAAATGACACAAAAACATTGTGGCCCAATAGCTATTTGAATTTCTGAGTTAACAGACTTTTACTATTCGGTCTTACAATGTAGGATGTGTGAGTGTTGTGTGTTTGTGTTTGTTGTGGTTGGTTTGAAATTGCTCATAAATTTTCATGTATGGCTATTGTTTGACTGTGGGTACATGTATTTTTAAAATTATTAGACAATAATAAAAATAATATGAGAGATATTTGGAATATATTAAATAGGGTCATCAGAAATAATCATGGTAAGGAGAATTATCCTCACTATTTTTTGGATGGTGATAAGATGGTTAATAAAATGGAGGATATAGTAAATAAATTCAATGACTTCTTTGTTAATGCTGGGCCTGAATTAGCAAAGAATATTTGTGACAATGATGTGTCCTATGGCACTATTGCTAATTTTATTGAAAAAAATCAGCATTCTATGTTCCTTAAACCAATAGAAGAAATGGAGGTTAGACATATAATTCATAAATGTGATAATAAGACATCGACTGACAGTGATGGAATAAACATGACTATTATTAAATCGGTAATTGATGGTTGTTCTAAACCACTAACTTATATCTTTAATTTGTCCTTTCAATCAGGAAAATTTCCTAATAGTATGAAAATAGCAAAGGTTATTCCGCTTTATAAATCTGGAGATAGACATAATATTACAAATTATAGACCTATTTCTTTATTATCGCAATTCTCTAAAATCTTAGAAAAACTGATAAAAAGTTATTTGACTAACAGACGGCAATTTGTAAGTCTGGGCGAGCACCAATCAGATTTTCTGGATATAGTATGTGGAGTCCCACAGGGGTCAGTTTTGGGTCCTAAACTTTTCATACTGTATATTAACGATATATGCAATGTTTCTGAATTATTGAACTTTGTACTATTTGCTGATGATACTACTATATGGGCCTCTGGGGAAGACCTACAGCAACTTTTGGGTCTGATTACTGTGGAATTGGACAAGGTGAAGAAATGGTGTGACAGGAATAAGTTATCACTAAATCTGGACAAAACAAAATTCATGCTGTTTGGATATGGAAGATTAAATCGTCAGATTCAAGTAAGGGTGGGGGATGCCAATATAGAAAGAGTTTACGAAACAAAATTTCTAGGCATAAATATTGATGATAAAATCTGTTGGAAACCTCATATTAAATATATACATAATAAATTGGCTAAAAGTATATCTATATTGGCAAGAGTTAAAAATATTGTGGATCAGAAGTCACTCCATACTCTTTACTGTTCTATGTTTGTACCTTATTTGGACTACTGTGTTGAGTGTTGGGGAAATACATACAAAAGCGCATTATGCTCATTATTTAAACTACAGAAAAGGGCCATTAGAATTGTTCATGGACTTGGTTATAGGGATCATACGAATTCATCATTTGTACATTCAGGATTTTTAAAATGTTTTGATTTAGTAAAATACAAATCTGCTGTATTTATGTATAAAGTCAGATATAATTTGGTGCCAAGTGGTATTCGGGGTCTGTTTGGTGATCGAGAGGGTGGTTATGGATTGAGGGGCCACCCCACTTAAATAACTCAGGCCATACGCACAACTAGGAAAAGTTTTTGTATATCTGTGAGTGGGGTAAAATTATGGAATAGATTGGGTGATGATTTAAAACAATGTACAAGTGTAAAACAATTTAAGAATAAATATAAAAAGGCCTGCATAGCTGGGTATTGGATACAGGAAGTGTAATGATTTTATTAAGATATTATCGGTGTATTTATGGGTGGGATATGAATAATTTATTGTTTATAATTTGTTTTCTAATTATGTAAATGTGATTTGTGGTTAGAAGGAATGTAGTAATTTGGTGGTTGCGGGAATTTAACGAGTGTAGTTGTTTAGTTAAATACTTGGGTTGTGTCAGTTATAGTTTGGATTACCAGGGGTAGAACTAGATAAGTATTACTTCTTTCTACTCCCTTGAAAGCATGTAATGACTAAGCATCATCAAGATAAATTTCTATCTTTGGTTGTATATGGTAATTGGTTCGGTTGTTTTGTGTTACATGTTGATTTTTTATTTTTTTTATTTTTATTTTTCTCTGTTTTATTTTTCTCTCTGTTTTATTACATGCTTGGAATTAATTAATTTAAAAAAAAATTACAGCTAAGCTTCCTGTCTTGTTTAGCTTTAGTGGTGTCTAGCCATACACAGGTTTTATGATATGCCTTTGAAAGTTTTGCTGCTAAAACCAGTACAATGGATAGTTACAGTGGAAGATGTAGTATGTCTTTCCTGAAATAATATCCTGTTTACTCATTGCAATTACTTTGTACTGTAGAAATAGCCCTTTACAACAACAGGCGTTGGGGCTGAGAATGATAGGAACTACTAGAAAATGAAAAGTTTTTTTAAGCTTACCTTTTCATGTATTTATACTGATGCCACCAAAGATTAAGGCTATTTAGTTTGTTAGTTAGGTAGTAGGGAATGCTGATTTTATAGTAGCTTTTACAGTTTCTCCCACCCTGCTGTCAGTATAAAAATAAACACCCTAAAAGGATTTTACAGAAAGCTAGCAGGGAACATAGAGAGGGGTTATTACTCCACGCAGGGATGGTGACATGAGCATCTTCTTTTAAAAAACGACTTTCTGGCCAAACCCAAAAGCCCAGAAATGTACACCTCTTCATCCCCTGCAGCACCAGCTTCAGATGCAGCCATTCTTCCTCATCCCATTTCAGTATGTCTCCAGTCACTGCTCCATCACCAGCCCCCCAGTACCTCCAATCCCCAAAAACCCACTGTCATTCCCATCCCTGTCTCATTCTTCATCCCTGGCCCAGCCAGCCTGCAGCCCACCTGCTGAGTTAAATGGAGTGTGCCAGCGTCAGGGGAGTGTGCTCAGTTCAGTTCAGCTCAGCTCAGCTGGGCTGCCAGAGTTATAAACTTACTGTGTGATTATTGTCAGAGTGAGACTCCTCCACCCAGGAGGTCTGTGCTGATGGGTACTATGTCACCGGGTACAGCCAACCATGCAGGGTGGGATGAAAGAGCACAGGAGGGATGAACAGTAGTGATAGAAACAGAAGTGAGAAAAGGGCACACTGAGAGGGAAGAGAAATGCTATTGGTAGGAGAGATGGCAAAATGTAACAGGGATTTTGGGAATGAGAACAAGCACAGGGTTAGAGACTTATCAAAGGCAAGAGAAAGCCAAGCTTAGCAAGGAAAGGTTGATGTATACCTGTCATGCAGACAGAGACAAGGAAAGCTACGCAGGGAATGATATGAAAAGGAAGAAGCAGAAGAATAATGTGCCGAGAGAATAAAGAGAGGCAGCAGGGATATCAGCAGAGAAGCGAAAAAGTGGGAGAAAGGCAGAGGCTGGGTAGGCAAGAAAGGCAAAGAGAGAAATTAGACAGAACATTTTCAAACGAGTGATGTGTGCTGTGATTGTTTTCTCTCTCTCGCTCTCTCTGTCTTGCTCTAAACGGTCGGGATGTGGCCTGTATCTGCCGGCAAGAAGGAACTCAATTTGGGACAATTTACTAGGCAGTCTGAGCCCTGATGCACCTCAGGGACAGAGAATAGAGAGAATGAAAGTGAAGGAAGATAGAATCAGCAAGCCACACATACACACACACACACACACACAGACATAACGTGTGCCTCACACACAATTGCTGCTGAGTAGATTTCACTTAGTTAGTCCTAACTCTCCCAGGCGGTCAATACGATTGAGTTTATAAGGCTTGGAAATGAAAAGCCCAGGATAAGGTTAGATAAACTGTATGCTATTTGATTTCAGCCCACCTCTAGCAGAAAACCCACACAAGACAGATGGCCAAAGGGATGTGCTGAAATCATGTTGTACAAAGGGTCCTGTGGGTGATTAAGGCTGAATACGTCATATGTTTGACAGTGTGACCCTCAGACTCTACCTGTATTACTTTCTCTGTAATGATGGAAATGCGTTTATGATTTGTATAATGCATCTGATACTCTCAGTTTTTGCCACAGTATTTTATTTTTTTATTTTTTGCTGGGGAAAGGGCACCGTGTTTTAGCAGATTCCTTCAATAAGGCACTCAGCCAATTAAATCTTACATCAAATGTTGTGCTCTGTAACGCTTTCCTTGAAAGTTGAGGTCTCATAACCTGACCACAGATTTTGCTTCTGTACTGACAGGTTGGCAGCCTGGAGGGTCTGTACACTCTGAGAGACAGCAGGGGGCGCTCTGACAGAGACACCTTTGAGGGCAGACTTGCAACTGCAGCTGGGGTAAGTATTTGTAATTGTATTAATAAATAAACACTCTGCTGAATAAAACACCCTTGAGACAGTAGAACGTGTAGAGTGGATCAAGCGGCACAGTCCCAAAAGATACTACACTGAGTTGTTGTTGGCTTTTTTTTTTGGCCTGATTCATACTGTCTGTGTAACACAGCGGGAAATGGATTTGTAACTACAGCAAATCAGAGCGTTCAGCTACTTAGACGTGACTGTTTGATACATTTAACACGGCCATGTCAAGGTGAATTCACACTCTGGCATCAGTTCTGATTTTACACAGCATGTATATGCAAATGGAAGTTCATTTGGCTGCTGTTGCTGTTTTAATCAGGCTCTAGTGTTGATTAGTGAGAAGGGGAAAAAAGAAACAGAACCATGTGATGAGTAATAGCTGAAAGTTATTTGCCTTGCTTGTGAAGCTTGTGTGTCTGTTCCACCTGAAATCACTTTGTGCCCCCCTGCCCAGCCACCTTCAACAAGCCGTTCGTTCTGCATCACCCACAGAGCGCACAATACAGCCTCCTCACTGGGCTTTTGTTGCCAGGGAAACAGTCACCCACGGAGACATCCCATGACAGCACAGGGAGATGGAGGAGGGACAAGGGTTGAAAATGCGGCTTTGGTCCTGTCCTCTCTCCAGAGTGCATCAGACCTCTGGCCCTTCCCCAACACACTACCTCCTTAGTGACACACAAGCAAAATGGACCACACAGAAGGACAGACACACATGCACCAAAACACACAAGCAATATTGAGAGAAAGAATGGAACAAAAAGTAAGAGAGCGAAAAAGATTCCAAACTTTCTGATTCAGACTTATCATCTGAATCAGTGTGCGTGTGATTAATTGAAGTAATTTATGCACAATCTCCAGTAACTGCATGTATGGTTCATGATTTCATTAAACTGTAACTTTAATTAGATTTCCACCACTGTAACTGTAGGTGAAAATAAATTTACACCCCTAAAATGTTCCACATTTTATAATGAGTCTTAAATTTAATGGATTGCACAAATAATGTTTTGGGATAATGAACAATTGCCTGCTTAAACACTGCATTGCTGTACAATATGTTTAATATGTATTATTGTGGGGCATTTTGTGCCTTTATTGAAATTAACTGTAGAGATGTAGACAGGAAACAGGGAGAGAGAGAGAGAGCGAGAAAGATATGCAACAAAGGCTCCCAGCAATGAACTATGGGCATTGCTCCACTGGACAGTATTTTTAGATAACTTATTACTAAGCTCTGTTTGTAGGATTTTTGGTTTTATGTTCTTTTTTTTTAATAATCAGCCAAGAGAAAAGAGCTTTAAAATCACTGTCACTGCTTTTTTTTTGCCTGAAAACAGCCCATATTGTAATAGCTGTATGGAAGCCATATTATTGGTGGGTTATGTGTTGCCAAACACAATTAAAGTGTGTTAGCTACAGTAGCTCACCAGCTGCCAGAGCCTGAGCTATACTCTATCCGCCCACCCCTGACCAGGCCTTTGTGTATACAAGCCTGTGCTGCATCACAATGTACTTTGCATTGCATGGCAGGTGTGTTACATTATAGAGCTCACCATTTAGTTAATTTAATGCTTCTTAATTTGTCTTCTGAGGTCACAACAGTAGGCTATTACTTGTACAGTAACATGGTAAAATATCCATCTAGTTGTTTAAGTTGTGTCTTTGGAACATGAGGAGAGATGTGTTGGTTGCATTCTGCTCCGAAGCCAGGGACACAAAGTCAGAAACCTTTCCTGGCTGTGATTTGGATATTCTAACCCAATGTCAATGTAACAAACAGATCACCATCCACAGAGTTAAAATCACTTCTTAGAAGAGGACTGTCACAATTATTCGTTCTATGCTGACCTGCTTTTGAGATCCTCTTCAGATAGCTTATTTTTGTTTGATTTCATCTTAAAATATCATATATTGTACAGCAAATACCCTGTATAATATTTCTTGTCCACCATGTAGTGTCCAGAAAACACAGCAATAAAAACTAAAATGATTACAATGTAGAGTAACCATAACCACTGCTATAAAAATGTCAAAGTCAAAAATTGGCAAATAATTTCATGCTCAGAATACAAACTAGATGGACAAACCATATAAAGTGTAGACTAACATACTAAGAAATGTTTCAGTGACACTTTGCTGTCCTCACCGGAGACTTGGCAAGCCTCACACAATGTTAATGCCAGACACAACAACTTTACTTATCTGCGCTTGGCACATAAAGTGCACTAATGCATGCAACCCCAGTGGCTCAGTGTGGCCACTGTACCTGGTATTCCCTGGTGGTCCCGACCCAACCATGCTTAGCTCCCAATATCAGATGATATTGGGCATGGCCAGGTTGATATGAAATTCTGCTGCTCATATAGTAATATGAAATTTACAAAAATGATTTTGCATTTATTCGTTTTTGGCACATTTCATGTAAATTGATTGGTGTAATACATATTATATGATATAGTAGATGTACGTATGCTGTGCTGAAAAAGGTACTGTAGCAATATAATCTAGAAGAAGTGAAATAAAACCAGGTATTTTTTACAAATGGCTCCTGCCTTTGTCAGCCCAGTGCAGATAATGATGTGGAACCAAAGCAAACAAATGATAATGTTTAGTAAAGTTTCAAAAATACCGTACATCACAGAAAGCTATTGTTCAAAAAATGCTTTTGTTCAATAAGAAAGGAATAATAAACACCCTCCACATACCAGTGAGATCGCCAGCAGCTGCTGTCACTCAGATCACACACTGGCTCAGTAAGAGCAGTCCATAGGAATGGGGCTCTGAGGCGCACGTGTGGAGAGCAGCATATTGTTTACAGCTGAGAGACACACAGAGTGGAGGTCCATGATGGCTTCTCACAGGAGGAGGAGGTGGTGTTGCTACCATGTAATCCTGGTTGATGGAGCCCTGTGCCAGCAAAGCAACAATCAGCTGTTGCACTGCTAATGACATAATTAGCAAGGCTGTGGAAAAACAGCTCAACACAAACGTGTGAGAACTCAGAGACAGCACACAGATAAGTACTCAATACACATAACAAGCATTTACACAGCTAACAAGTACCAATACATTCTAACCTAAAGAGACAGAATGCAAGGCTCATGCATCAGCGTAAAACATGCATAAAGGAATATGGACACGTAACACATGCACAAATACTGCCACAGTGTGACAAGACAGTACATCATCTCAGTGTTTTCTGTCTCGTCTTGCTGTACCATGTTTACATCAGATCTCAGGTTTCCCTTGGTGACCATCTTCTTAACTGTCCTATCATACTGTAGCTTGCAATTTCATTCTCAAGCACACCAACTTGTCTCTGACTGAATTCTACAATGACCTTTTACAGAATGTCTGAGATACTAACCCCCTGCCAGTTTTTGAAATACACACACACAGGCCCCTGCTGGTGTACTTACACAT